GAAGAAGAAGATGACGATTTCCATTTATATCTCTCCGATACCGAAGAAAACGAAGAAGTAATACCTGAAAGCGATTTATTAAATAACAACAACAATACTCTTCCATTTACACCTACAGGATTAAACGAACCAGATTATTTATCAATTACCGAAAAAGCTTTAATACACGATCCTCCTAAACAAAATAAAATTCAAACAAGAAGCCGAACTGCAAGACAAAGTATTGAGCAAAATAAAATAACCAACGAATTGCATAGCGATGAGGGAGAGATCGGAGAAATCGAAGAAAGAAATGATCCGCCTGATAAAGATTCTGACAGTGAAAAGGAAGACGAAGAAGAAAATGAGGAAGATATTATTAACCAAAATTTAAAGTCGAGAAAAAGAAAACCCGCGTTTATTGAAAATAAAATAATTCATGGTAACGTCATAGACTCTCGAGAACTATTATTTTTACGAAAAGATAACATGGTATATTTCGTCGACACCTAGGGAAAATCTTTAGATTCAGGCTCACAAAAACTTTTCGAACGAAAAGAGCTTCTAAACCTAGGATTTTTCGTCTTAGGAAAGGCTAGGGCCTTAAAACATAAAAATCATTATCATGTGGCTTTACCCATCAGCGAGGGACAGCGAGAAGGCCCTACGGCTACCCTTAACCAAATTATTAAAATCTTAGCAGATTTACAAAATATAACTAAAGATTTAAAATTAGAAACATTTAGTATTGCAAAAACCAAATTTATTAATAACGTTCCATGGAATGATATCAAATTACATTTACATACAATATTCACCGACGCTCCCACTAAAATTATTATTTGTCACGGACTAATTAAATATCCACCGAAAGATTTACGTTCCATTATAATCAGTGAAATGCATTGTTTACCAACGGGAGGACATCGTGGAGTCACAAAAACTTACAACCGAATAAAACATAATTATTACTGGGAAAACTTGAAAGCAGATGTTCAACGATACATACAGCAATGTTTACAATGTCAATTGAAAAAACTTGTACGAGTTAAAACAAAACAACCTATGATAATTACAGACACACCAGGATCTTCTTTCGATAAAGTAGCCATGGATATCGTAGGCCCTTTGCCTAAAACCGAAAGAGGAAACGAATATATTTTAACATTACAAGATCAATTAACTAAATTTTGCATGG